GGTCTTTAAACAGAGGTGGGATGCCCATGGGTCACAGGGAGGGCTTGGACGGTGTCTTCCTTACTGCATGGAAGAATGGGGTTGGAACGGATGGTCTTGGAGGACGTCCTCCAACTCTAAAACCCTATGGTTGGGAAGAACCTCCTGATTCTGTTTGACCATGGAAAGGATTGACTCAGAAAGTGGCAGACACTCCATCTTCAGAAGCCTTTAGATTAGATAGAGGTTGGATGGGCATCTTTCAGGAGTGCTTTAGTGGTGTCTTCCTGTATAGCAGAACGGGGTTGGACTATATGACCCTTGGGGTCCCTCTAAGACTCTAGGATTCCAAGCTATAGGATCATAGACTCATACAGCTGGAGGGGCTATCTCATCCAACCCATTTCTGCCATGCAGGAAGGCACAAGCAAAGTCTACTGTACCCTTTAGCTAAATGGGCTCACAACACAACAAAATGTGGGGGGAAATTGGACGGGGGGGGGGTTGAATATTTCCCCAAGGCTTTGGATGCAGGAGTGGTTCCAGCTGGTCTATGCCCCATATCAGTTCAGTGCAAAGTGGTGAGAGATCTGGGTTAGAAAACTAACAATATCCCCATAACACTTGCAGAGCAAAAGGGGCCATTCAGCTTTGCCAACCTGGTGCCAACCATAGGCCCATAATGGCTCCATTCTCCCGCTGCTCCTTCCAAAACCCCTCCGGGGAAATAAAAAGAGTATCAGCCCATTGCACAGAAGATTAATAGAAAGTAGCACCTACCGCAGAGAGAGAAAGAGAGCATGCAAGCAGGAAAACAAAGAAAGCAAGGAACAGGCTGGTCATAAAAACGTTAACTGGAAGGAGACAAAAGCACCCTGTAACCGCTATATTCTTTCTGCCTTCCCCTCTGAGTTTGCAGCTTGCAGGACTCAACCTCTGTGGATTCATTAGAGGAGAAAAAAGACGTTTGTTCGGAAAGGCTGAATTTTCATGAATGCTAATGTTCGGACCACATGCTACCAAAATGTCAAGATACGGTTTAATTAAAGTTCCCGGCTTTGATCCTTTTGGAAGTTCCTCCATAAACAGAGCCAGGTATGCCTTTCCATAGAATGACAGGACAAGGCGGTTGGTTATTCACCAGCAGATTTACCAAAAGAGCCTTGAGAATTGTGGAAGGTTGCATCCGCACTGCAGAAGTGATCCAGTTTGACACTGCTTTAATGGCCATACGATAAAATCCTGGGATTTATAGACCCTACATTGCATAGTGAATTGAGTGCTGGACTCTGAAGACCAGGTTTGATTCCTGGTTCGGGTATGAAACCCACAGGGTGACAGGCCCTGGGCAAGTCACACTCTCTCAGCCTCAGGGGAAGGCAATGTCAAACCTCCTCTGAACAAATCTTGCCAAGAAAACCTCCGTTGTGGGAGAAAGGCAAGATATAAATCCTTAATAAAATAAATATGACAGATTGACTGCCTTAGGATCACCGTAACTTGGAAACAACTTCAAGGCATACAGCAACAACAAGTGGCACTAGAGCTCTCTGACGGAGGAGGCTCATTGTCTCCCAAAACTACAATTCCCAGGATTCCATGGTCCTGAGCCATGGCAGTTAAAGCGGTGTCAAACTGGATTATTTGTGCACTGTGGATGCAACCTGAAAGAGCTGTTTTTCCCTTTCTTGCTACCCCAAGAGGCTGTAAGCACCGCAGGGAGGCATTAAAGAGGAACAAATTCATCTTCTCCTGGCACACGGCGTCCTGCGCCGCGAAGGACGGCAAATGACTGGAAATTGGACTCAGTGCCTTGAGATGGAAGCATGCCACAAAATACGAAGAAAGGTCAGATTTGCACCTGTGTAAAAAGACCAGGCGGCGTGCCAAGCAATTGGAATTCGTTGCCAGGCTAGTTTCCTGGCACGGAGGGAGACATCTGCTAATTCATTATTTCCCGCTAAATGATCTTTTTCCCCTCCCCAATTTAACGCGACATGAGGTTTTAGCTTTGCATCTGCTGCCGCATGGATTTTTGCACACTGTCGGTTTTTAATTTCTAAAAACCTGATGGAGCAGCACTGAGAAGATGGCACCGGTTCTTCTTTTCAAGGATCCTTCCTTCCTTCCTTCCCTCTCTCTCTCTTCCCTGCACACAAAATGGCTCTCTTGCTTTTATCGTTCCAAGGCCAACAAAGCCGCCTTCCATTCAACGGCAAGAAGAGATGCAAGGAAGAGAAATGTTTAACACAGAATCTGAAGACCACAAGGACCACCTATTCCAACCCCTTGCCATGCAGGAATACACAACTAAAGCACTCCTGAAGATGTTATTTTATCCTTGCAAGATTCAAGGCTGCCAAGTGACCCATGGAGGACATTTGAGATAACAGGACTTGGTGACCATCAAAGCAGACGAACTGTGCTCCAGGTAGATTGCCTCCTGTACCTAAAACAGCCTGTCCCCCATTATGAATAATAATAATAATAATAATAATAATAATAATAATAATAATAATAATTTATTTATATACTGCCCAATGGTAACCCAATCCAGGCGGTTTACAGCATAAAACACAATTTACAAAAAACAAAAATATGGCAGGCCCCGTGGATACCAAAATCCGTGGATACTCAAGTCCCATTAAATACAGTGGCATAGTAAAATGGTGTCCCTCATATAAAATTGGCCAAAACAAAGTTTACTTTTTGGAATTTATAATTTTTTTTTGGGGGGGGGAACATATTTTCAAGCTGTGGGTGCTTAAACAATCCATGGATACAGAGGGTCAACACACACGCACGCACACACAACAGCAACAAACTGTTGAAATTTGGAGCATGCGCTGAATTGCAAGACACACAAAGGTCTGCTGCCAAAAGCACAGCTCTTTCCAAACTTCGGGAGGGGGCCATGAACAGCCAAGCCTGCTATTTTCCTGCCAAAAGCCTCCTTGACTTAAAGGAATGAGTGGCACACAAAAGATCACCCAGCCTCCAGAGCTGTCAAACTCTGCACTAAGCGTGACTTTATAGGAAAATGTGGGATCTTTTTTTATTTTATTTTTGTAAGGAAAAAAAAAAACTAAGGGGGAAAGTAGCGCACAACTTTTATTTCCTTTTCTGCAAAGTTAGCAGAGCAAATGACAGCTCCGCATCTTCTTCCTCATCCCAATCAATCTGGTATCCTTTGCTTGGATCCGCAAGGATGGCTTGAATTTATATCTGGGGAAGAGTGTCTCTTTGGATGTATTTGCACTGCAAAAATAATACAGTTTGACATCACTTTAATTGCCATGGGTCTGTGCTGGGGTTTGTAGTTTAGTGAGACAGTTTGCCTTTTCTGTCAGAGAGCTCTGGTGCCACAACAAACTACAAATCCCAAAATCCCATAGCATGGAGCCATGGCAGCTAAAGCAGTGTTGAACTGCATTAATTCTGCAGTACAGATGCAGCCACTGTCTCACCATCCTCACAGATATTGATCTGGTGGAAACACCCCAATCCAGACCGTTTACAACCAACTCCAACCTAGTGCCTTCCCAATATGTGTTGAGTACGACTTGCACCATCCCCAGCCAGCATGGGGATGATGGAAGGTGTTGTCCAGCCTTAATTCTGCAGTGCAGATGCAACCACTGTCTCACCATCCTCATAGATATTGATCTGGTGGAAACACCCCAATCCAGACCATTTACAACCATCTCCAACCTTGTGCCTTCCCAGTATGTGTTGAAGTACGACTTGCACCATCCCCAGCCAGCATGGGGATGATGGAAGGTGTTGTCCAGCCTATCTGATAGGAACCCAGTTGGAGTACTTTGATCTTTGCTTGCCCTGGAGATGGCAATCTGCCTTTCCATTTAATGTTATTGTGTAAAGCATCACCGTACTTTGAAAGTACAGTGTAAAACAAACCATTACGAGGGTCAGAATGAAAGATGGCCACTTTCCGCATTACATCCCTCATTAATCACATTCAGGGTTTCATTTTGGAAACCCACCAGAAGCCGGAGAGATGCAGAGAACAAAACGGCCCCTTTGGAAACCCAGGGAATGGAAATGCAGACCTTTGCAAAAGGTGCTGCTGCATTTCTCTTGGTACAGGCGAGTCAATAAGGCATCATCTAATTAAAGAATGAATCATAATTAAAAATTCACCCTTCCAAATGCTCTGCAGCACCTAAGGGAAGAAGACGATCGCTGCGACCCAAATCGACGAGCCAATGATTGCAAAAGCAAAAACGAAGTGATAGGAAAATAAAGGTTTATAAAGATCATTTGGCACTGATCACAGCTTTTGTTTCATTTCCAGAAATGTGTGAGTGTGCGTCCTTAAGTCGCCTGTTGTCTTATGGAGGACTGGATCAATTTCACAGGGTTTTCTTAAGCAAGGAAGAGGGTTTGCAGAAGATAAAACTAGCTTGTGTTGTGTTGCTCCAAAGACTAGAACAAGAACCAATGGATTCAAACGACAAGAAAAACATGTGTGTTTGTGTGCCTTCAGGTCTCCTGTTGACTTATAGCAACCTCATACGCTTCATAGGGTTTTCTTTGTTGTTGCTATTGTGGTTGCTGTTGTTGTTGGGTGCCTTCAAGTCATTTCTGACTGAAGGTGAACCTGTGTGTTGCATGCTGTTTGCCTTCAAATCATTTCCAAGACTTATTAAGGTGACCCTATGACATGGTTTTCTTGGCAAGTTTCATCAGAAGTGCTTTGCCATTGCCACCCACTGAGGCTGAGTGTGACTTGCCCAAAGTCACCCAATGGGTTTTCACATCCAAGCCGAGATTCGAACTCTGGTCCCCGGAGTCGTAGTCCAACCTTCAAACCACTATGCCACGCTGGCTTCTCATAAAACCACATTAGAAATAATTCAAATCTTTCCTTTCTTTTTTCCCCTCCCTCCTTTATAATTTTTTCTTTTTCTTGTTTGCTTTAAACCCGCAGCGCAAACCAAAAGCTTCACGTGGAATAAAGCTGCGCGGCGGTTGTCCTCCAAGTCCCTCGCTTGTACCAACTCTGTGCAATGTACTTAAACGGTTGCTATAGAGATGCCAAGGTAAGCAAAGATTAAAATGGAGAAAAAGAAAGAAAGAAAGAAAGAAAGAAAGAAAGAAAGAAGAGCCTCCCATCTCGCCAGCGTGGCATTTGAGCCTGGCATCAACATGGCTGGATGCCAAGGACAGAACGGGAGAGAGACGTAGTGCACCTGAGCAATGAGAAGAGGAGGTTTTGAATGCAAAGGCCTGTTATGTCAAGAGCCTTAGTACAGCTTTAAGTCTACAAGGAAGACATTGATAATAAAGATTTTCCATGTTGTTGTTGCTGTTGTTGTTGTGCGCCTTCCAAGTCGTTTCCAACTTATGGCAACCCTCATGCAAACCCATCATGGAGTTTTCTTAGCAAATTTCCTCAGAGGGGGTTTGCCTTTGCCATCCTCATAAATCTTCTAGGTGTGAATGTCCTGCTTTGCAGCTCCTAAACCTGGCCTTTTTGATTTGCAAATGGTTGTAAATGCAGATGTGACTCTTTTTGGAGTGCTCTCTTTGAGCTCATGGGGATGAAGGCTCCTTCCAGCTTAGGGCTATAACAGAGACCCAAAGGGGTCTTTATATCAAACCAATCATCGTAACAAAACTTTCCCCCCAAACCTTATTTTCTGTACCTCCCAAAATTTATGCAGAACAATGAAAAGGGGGGAAAAGAGAGAGACCAGAAGCGGCGGCTATCCGAAATGTGGGATGCAAGCATGTTCAGAAAAAGACGATGATGATGATGATGATGGTCACAGAGGGAGAGCCAAAGAAAAGATTACAGCTTGCTGGAAGAAGTTTCAGCTCTCAGGCAAATTGGTTTCTTAAACGCCTTGCCACCTTTTCTTCCTTTTTTTCCCCCTCCAGGCGTTAATTTGGTGCTCAGCCGAGGCTAAAAATACCCCTGTTTCTCTCTTAGACAGATAAAGGTTGGATGAATGATGCTACTCTCCTTTGGAAATGGGATTACTCAACGCGGCGGCGAGACGTGGGAAGCCAAATCCCACGTGCGGCTGGAGACTGTGGCTGGCACAGACGGACGAGGAGGACATTCGGATTTCGTCTCCCTCCTCCCCGGCTGGACCCCTCGGTCTCAAAACAGGGGGAAAGAAGGAACAGAGGGATGGTCCCTTCACCCTAAAACTAGAGACCACCATCACCACTCTCTGATTTCACACAGAATGGGGTCAGATTGGATGACTCTTGGGGTTTCTTCCAACTCTTACAATTCGACGGTTGCGTTTCAGGTTGATTTCAGGAAGGCATTAAATGCCCACCTTTGGGACCTCACAGCACCTTTCCCTCACCATCACCCACATTTTCCTTCTTTCTTTTCTAACTTTTATTGAAAGGAATGTAAGTTAAAATTCAACAGAACAGAGAATTTACAGACAGTAACAAAATACACTGTGAGCCAGCATGGAGTAGGGGTTTAAACATTGTTAAGCTATGACTCTGGAGACCAAGGTTCGATTCCCAGCTTGGCCATGAACCCCTCTGGGAGACCTTGAGCAAGTCACACACTCTCAGCCTCAGGGAAGGCCATGGCAAATCTTCTCTGAACAAGCCAAATAGCAAGATAGCTTTGCCTTTGGGTTGCCATAAGTCATAAACAACTTGAGGGTACACAACACATCCACACTCGCCAACAAAATGTGCAATGCAGCTTGAGTCTCCCTTATCCGAAATGTTTGGGACCAAAAGTGTTTTCCCCCAATCCGGACCCCCAAGGGTTTGCAAAATCTGAAGTGGGCCTCTGGTTTTGTTTCGAGAAAGAGGGCATAACCCCTTAGAAGCCTCATGATTTTTAGGCTGTCCTGGACTTTCCCATCTCCTATGCCCCCAAATTCTCACTGAAAAACAAACATTTCCACTCCAGAAGTGGAGATTCTCTTTTAATTCAAGGCACAGCCCTCGTGGGTTTCCTTTTGCCCAAAGAGTTTGCAAAATCTGAAGTGAGTCTCTGGTTTTGTTTCGAGGAAGGGGTGGCACAGACCCCTAGAAGCCCCAAACTGCCCTGTGAAACTCTGAAGCTTCCTCATCCCTGGTTTAAAGAATAAGGGAGACGTAGCACCACCATGGATCATTATGGTTAAAGAGGGGGGATATTAAGGGAAACTGGGGTGAGTGCGATGGTTGGAAAGGGCCAAAAAACAAGGATCTGGTAGCCACCATGTTGAGTCAAACTCCTTGGGAGGCTGGTCTATATCTGCATATCTGTTTTGCTCTGTTTCGTTTCTTTCCAATCCAAGAGTTTCTAATTATCCGTTCCTGTGACCCGCTCAGAGAACTGTGACAGGAGAAGCTATAAATAATCCATAAACTTGCATTGAATAAAAAGAGAAGTTCTCTGGCGAGGGCCCATCCCGCCCGAGAAACGCCTCTGCAAAATGACCAAACCCGCCTCCGTTTCCAAGGATGATGATTATTTTCCTTGCAATCACGTGCAGAGACAGAAGGGCTGCAATCCATCTCATGCACATGCAAGAAACCTTTCCAAGACTGTCATGTCACCCTTCGCTCTTCTAGGTTGCAAAGTTTGCAAGAGGTAAACAACCGCTCGGTTTTTACACCTGCAGTTTTCGTAGAAATGGTGGGTATCGAGCCCCTGAATGGACATACACCCGCATCGGTTATTTGGAAGCAGACAAGCAAAATTTCCTGCTGCCCCCTTCCCATTCCCCATCTCAAGCTCTTCAAGTTTCCAAGTTCTCTGGTCCATCTTGCAAACAAAGAACCCAAATCTTTAAACCGTGTTTTTCATTTGGCGCTGGAACGACAGCAACAGAGACGCCAGTTAGACTCCAAAAAGGAGAGTATTCTGTAACTGGGGTGTCCCTGAAGAGAAGGCCCTGCTGATGGCTTCCATGACAGTGAATCCATTTTGGGTTTTAGTCCAAACACTGAAGGAACTATCCAAGGTGCTGAAACATACACTCAAGACATCAGCACTTTGCCTAACTCCTTTAAAGGTGAGACTAAAACCCAGATCCAATTCACCATTCCCATGCATGGTGTAGTGGCTTGAGTGTTGGATGATGACTCTATAGAGACTGGAGTTTGATTCCCAATTTAGCCATGGAAACTCACTGGGTGACCATGGGCAAGTCACACTCTCTCAGCCTCAGGGGAAGGCAATGGCAAACCTTCTCTGAATAAATCTTGCCAAGAAAACCCCATGATAGGTTCGTTCTAGGGTCGCCATAAATTGGAGGAGGGGGAATGACTTGAAGGCACACAACAACAACTAATATGGAAGTAAACAGCTAAAAGTGGAATAAGTGTGTGTTTGTGTAGAGACACAACTATCTGTCTATCTGTGTGTATCTCTCTCTCTCTCACACACACACACACACACACACACTCAACCTTTTATCTGGTTTAAAAGCAAATTGAATAAATGGATCAATTTTGGTTCCTCTCCCCTAGGGTTTTAATTCTTTTCTCCCCAAATAAAATGCCTCTTTTTGTAATCAAACAGGATTTCCTCCCCCTTCGGTAATTAAATGCTTTAATTCCTGCTAATTGGCATGCCCACTAAAAATAAAATATAGTGCACCAGTTTCAAGTGTCACAGCAATTATCTTTACGGGTTTGAACCGAATTGTTTTGTGGCCTTGGTTAAGAAGAATAAAAAGTGTACTAATTGCAGACTACACAGGATTGGGGCGGCACTCGGAAGGAAGTTTAGCTGCAGATTGTGATAATATTTTACTATTTCATCCTCACAAGTGTGGAAAATAATATTTTTAACAGTTTCCTCCCTGCTACGGAGAGAAGAAATATTTATAAGCAGTTCTCATCTGGCGTTGACACATCCTGAAGGGTTTTGCAAAGGAACAATGGGACTTTTGCACGAGAATTTTGAGGTTTTCTGCACACACAAAACTTTCCACTGTTTACAGGTGGGTGTTTATTTTGTGCAAGACTGCTGAGTTTTGCACAGAAAAGAACAAATGCACAACAAAATTCTGGCACGACGTTCTTACACTGAAAACAACAGTCTTGCCTGACAAAAACGTGTGTCAACATTTGGTGCAAGGTTGCTGGGTTTTGCACCAGATTTTTTTGTGTAAGGTTTTTGTTGTGCAAGACAATAATGCTTAGCAAAGTAGAAGGCAATGGGAAGATTGTATTACAGGTAGAGAGACTCAATCAAGGAAAGAAAATTGTGCAAGATTGTTGGGTTTTGTGTAAAAAGACAACACCCCACGCTCTGACATGGAAACCACACACAGCTTTTTGGAAACAGTATTTTTTGCATGCATGCAAAAATGTGAAAGAAAAAAAACCCAATGCAAGAAGGCGATTTTTCTATGCAGAATAATCCTCCAAAATGCATGCATACATCTCTGCATGAAATTCTCACTGTGGTTTTGTTCTTCCCAACCAGTTTTCCTGAGTGTTGGGAAATCCATTTTTTAACCAGGAAACAAATGATGGGAAATATGCTCGTCCAATCCTAAATGCAGATGCTATCAGCTGATCACATTTGAACAGGTAACAAACAAACAGGAATATCACCTCAACAGTTGAATGGAAAAATTCCTGATAGACTTGTTTGTGCCCACTGAGTTTTGGAACAAGCAAGCAACTCTGGAAACAGATGATGTACTCAACAGACCGCTCCAAAAGAAAGAGATAGCAGCTTTATCTCTGGGGGAAAATTGGGTTTTGCAGGTTTCATATTGCTTCAATATATTTATATTGCTTTTGACTGACCAGAGTAAGGACTATGTGTCCAAAGCTGGATGCGCATCTTTCCGGAGTGCTTTCCTTGCAGATGAAAAGGGGTTGGATTAGATGGCCCTTGGCATCCCCTACAACTCTATGTTTCTGTGATACGTCCAAAGTATGACAGTTTAGTCATATTCTTCTTCAATTTCATCATTTTGGTCTCTGTCCATGGTATCTGCAGAGCTCTCCTTCAGCACCATGGTTCCTTTCCTCTCAACTTTCTTCCCCATCCAACTTTCTCAACATAAGGGCACCATAACTCAAAAGTGGAAGGCAAGTAAGGAAAGAGAAAGATTGCACGACAGATGGGTGGAATCCATCAAGGATGATGCCACAGCTGCTCTCACTTTGCAAGACCTAAGTGGCACTGTTAACAACTTCTGTATGAAGCAGAAGGCAATAGCAAATGAGAGAGACTGCTCTATGGGTGAATGGACTCCATCAATGAAGCCACAGCTGAGTTTGCAAGACCTGAGCAGGGCTGTTCAGAACAGGAGCTCTTGGAGGCCTCTCATTCATGGGTTGAAGTTGACTTATGGTACAAAACAGCAGCAACGGGGATACAGCAAGCTCAGAAAAACACCAGGAAGATGCCAGCCAACATTTTAGCTTTGCCTATTGTGGTTTAAACATTGGACTATGACTCTGGAGATCAGGGTTCGATTTCCACTCATCCCTGAAACCCACTGAGTGACCTTGAGCAAGTCACACTCTCTCAGCCTCAGGGGAAGGCAGTGGCAAACCCCCTCTGAAGAAACTTGTCAAGAAAATCCCAAGCCTTAGGGTTGCTGCCATAAGTTGGAGACAACTTGAAGGCATACAACAAAAGCATGCACACACATATGCCAGTATGAAATCCAGCATGGTGCAGTCACTGTAGTGGTTTGAGCATCGGACTACAACTCTGGAGCTCAGTGTTGGGTTCCCTGTTCAGCCATGGACGTCTACTGGGTGACCTTGGGTGAGTCACACCCTCTCAGCCCCAGAAAACTCTACGATAGGGCAGCCATAAGTCGGGAATGACTTGAAGGCACCCAGTGAATGTGCCATCCTACCTCCCCAGCCTGTCACCCCTTTCTCTGCAAGACATACAAGAGCAAAGGGGTACCAATCCTGGGGACCCTTTTGCACCATCGCCAGGGAAAGCAGGTGCCCATCCTTTTGCAGAGGAGCATCAAGGACCGTTTCCATGGAGATGCTGCTGATGAACACAGAGCATGATTACCCTAACGACGGCCCACCCTCCTTTCTTTGCCATTGCAATCAAATGCTTGTAGCTGTCATCTGCACAGAGAAAGAAGAAGAGAAAGAAAGAGAGACAGGCAGAGGGTTCTTCTGAAAAGGATGCAACAGGGCTGCAAGAGGCAACCAGTTTGGATAATTCATCCCTGGCAGCCCCCCATTTGCAAGTCGATCTCGCCAGAGTCCTTAGCCCTGATGGCAATCTCCATATTCAGAGAGAGTTAGTTATGCCTCCGATTAGTAGGGGCCAAGGTGGGCTATCCATCTGTCTGGCTACTGAATGTTAAAAGGGAAAGAGGGGCTTGGTCCAAGAGCAGAGCCACATTGCATGTCGGCAGGCAATGTCATCTATTTCAGAAACCATTGGACACCATCAGAGGCAAGCAAAACCGATGTTATATTTTTTTTCATAGAATCCTAGAGTTGGAAGGGACCCCCAAGGGTCATCCAATCCAACCTCATTCTGCCATGCAGGAAGACACAATTAAAGCACCTCCCTGTGACAGATGACCATCCAGCTTCTCTTTAAAAACCTCCAAAGGAGGAGAATCCATCACCCTCCGAGGCAACATTGTCCACTGCTGAACAGCTCTTACCGTTAGGATGTTCTTCCTAATGCAGAGGTGGAATCTCTTTTCAGATATAGATAGATAGATAGATAGATAGATAGATAGATAGATGGATGGATAGATAGATAGATAGATAGATAAGCAGGCAGACAGACTTTGCTCTGGCAATGGATTTAAAGAGTCATGCAGCTTCAGGTACTGAAAGCGATATAGAATCCTAGAGTTGGAAGGGACCCCAAGGGTCATCCAATCCAACCCCATTCTACCATGCAGAAATACACAACCAAAGCCCTCCCTGGGACAGATATCCATTCATCCTCTGTTTAAAACCCCCCCCAAAGAAAGAGAGTCCACCACCCTCCACTCTTGGACAGCTCTCACAGTCCAAAAAGTTCTTCCTAATGTTCAGGTGGAATCTCTTTTCTTATCATTTGAATTAAATGTGGTGCAATAAAGTATTAGTCGTTTAGAAATTTTGCACGGTGAGGGCTGAATGCTTCAAAGAGCAACGGCTGTTGGCGTTCTTAACCAACAATTGAGGGCAACAGATTAATTTTTAACAGAGCACATCCAAGCCGAGAGACTCCCCTTCCGGGGGTACGCATGCGCTCCTTTTATGCGCTCCCTTTCCCGTTCTGTTATCTCCATAATGATCCAGTTAGACAGAGCTTTTAGCAAAGAGGCCAAAAAGGGCGGCGGGTGGGAAGCGATCCAACATTGCATTTAGAGGCAAATACCTCCTTCTCTTTATATTGCAAAGTGCCGCTCTTAAGAAGATTGTGTTATTGTATATCTCGCTGCCCTCGTAATTTGCTGCCGCTGATTTATGATTTATGATTGCTTTGCTTTCTGTTTAGGAGAGATGGCTATTCAGGTTCATGCACGGCTGATGTTCTGATGGCCGACTAATGGGGAAAACATTTCCCAGAGAGCAGAGAAGGGGAAAACACACAAGCAGAACACCTTTCATCCCTTCTTTTTGGAAATGGAGGGAAATAATAATAATAATAATAATAATAATAATAATAATTTATATCCCGCCCCTCTGCAAAGAAATGCTCCCCTGCCATCTCTCGCCGTCAAAGTTGGAGGTTATTTCTTGCTATCGAAACAAACAGAAAGGTGTCCCTGCCCCAAGGAGCTTACAGGGATCATTGCAACCGAGCTTCCTTGACTCGGAAGACTGAACAAAACAAGGAACTGTAGATGCAGTTAGTTTCTGCAAAGGATGCAGGCCAAAGCCCAGCGTTGGTACGACATTCAGCCCTTTTGCACTAGAGAATTATATGGCTTAGGGAGCTGTATAGGTTTGTGGAAGAGAAGGCAAAGAGGGGACATAATGTCCAGGCTTAAATATTGGAAAGGATGTCCTATTGAGGATGGAGCAAGGTTGCTTTCTGCACAGCGATTCCCAAATTCTGGTCCTTCCAATATTTAGGACTACAGCTCCCAGATGTTTCAGCCATCTTGGCCAATGGTCTGGGATTCTGGGAGCTGAAGTCAAAAACATCTGGAAGGCCAGAGTTTGGAAATCACCGGACTAGGACATGGAGCAACGGATGCAAATTCCAGGAAAAGAGGTTCCACCTCAACATTAGGAAGAAGTTCCTGATGGAAAGGGCTGTTCGACAGTGGGATAAGTTGCCTTGACTCTAGTGGAGTCTCCTTCTTTGGAGGCTGTCTTTAAACAGAGGCTGGATAGCCATCTTTGGGGGGTGCTTTGATTGAGAGTTCCTGCATGGCAGAGCGGGGTTGGACTGGATGGCCCTTGGGATCCCTTCCAACTCTATGATTCTATGGAATAAAATAAGTAATAACAAAAGGGGCTACTCCAAAACTCACACAACACCAGCAAAGCGTCTGGGTGCAGAGACACTACACAATTATAGCAAAATGATTCCACTTTAACTGCCATGTTTCCCTCCCAGGGAATCCTGGGATTGGTAGTTTGGTAGAGGAGCTCTCTCTCTCTCTCTCTCTCTTCCTAAATGGCCAGTCTAAGGATTCCTGGGGACAGAACCATGACAGTTATAGTGCTATAACTCTGCAGTGTGGATGGGCCCCTGGACACTGATCCAGCCTGAACAGGTTGTTATTATGTGCCTTCAAACCATTTCTGACTTATGGCAACCCTAAAGTGAACCTATCAGGGGTTTTCTTGGCATGATTTGCTCAGAGGGAGGTTTGCCTTCCTTTGAGGCTGAGAGAGTGTGGCGTACCCAAGGTCACCCAGTGGGTTTCCATGGCTAAGCAGGGATTCGAACCCTGGTCTCCAGAGTCATGGTCCAAGGCTCAAACCATGGCACCACTCTGCGCCTCTGCATAAAAATGTCGTTTTCTGCATGCGCTGGACTCTGATCCGACTTCCCAGCCTCTCTGCAAAAGGTGGTCTCTAGCCGCCAAGATGGTTAATTATTTATATGGAAGCATCAATATGGCACCTGCGGACCTTTCACGGGATTAAATAAGAAATCAATCTCTTGTTTAACAGACAAGGAGAAAAATGGGAGCTGCCAAGAATGAAAAACCAGCCTTTGCTTGGATGAAAAGAGATTAACCAATTCCACGGACTGATTTCCCCACATTGTTCAATTATTTTGACCTTTTAAAACTTGGCTTTTTAAGCTGTATTGGTGCTGCTTTTAGGATTGCAAGAAGTTATTCACTTGGTTTATGCCACGGTGAGCTTTCAGGAAAGCCAGGCCAGAAATACTTTAAATACAAATAAATGAAATTATTAAATTAGTTATTGATCATCCATCTGAGCCAAAGGAATTTCCAAAAGAGTTTGCTAATAGGGGCAGATCAAGGGAGAGAAATAAACATACACAGGAGTCAGGACAATTTTAATAGGCTTTGGTTCAAACACTTTATACCTTTATATATTAATTTTATTAAAATATTTCTATCTCAGGATCTCAGGGCAGCAAAGAAGCATAAATATTTTGGACACATCTAAGATCTTGGACAAAATGCCCCAAACAGCTTTGACCTCCTCTCTCTTTCCTTTTTGAAACACATCCCCCTTTTTTCCCCTGGAAATTTAACACTCTTCTTCCTATCAACTTTAAACTTTTATAGACAGATTTTTAAACATTCCTCCAGCACATCTGTCCTCCCTCTCCCTTCAAAAGATGCATCCACACTGCGGAAATAATCCAGTTTGACCCCACTTTAACTGCCATGGCTCCATGTGACAGAATCCTGGGATTTGTAGTTTGTTGCGGCACCAGCGTTCTCTGACAGAGAAGGGCAAACATCTCACAAAACTACAATTCCCCAAATTCCATATCGTTGAGCCATGGCAGTTAAAAGTGGGGTCAAACTGGATTGTTTCTGCAGTGCGGATGCAGCCCCAAACAGCATACTAACATGCAAAACTGCAACACTAAACTAATATAGCAAGCGCAAGACAACTAATACATTAAGCGTTAACTAAAGCACAAAAGGATTGTAATGCCCCCAATCCAAACTGTAACGAGAGGAGGAAATCCAAAAATCAGAAATATATTCTTCTGCCATTACAGAATCGAGGAAATAAATGTACTGAGGCTACTAGTAATACGTTAAACATTAACTAAAACATAGGACTGTAATGCCTCCCAATCCAAACTGTAATGAGGGGGTGAAATCCAAACTCAGAAATATATTCTTCTCCCATTACCATTACCCCAAATTATTACTGGCCATTGCATTTCTAAACAGAGTTTCTGCAAAGGTTCCAGCAGGAAGCGTACAGAAATTCCTCCAGCCTTGTAGAAAACAAGGCGGCATTGTTCAAAAAGGAAGGAAGCCCCTTGATTTGATTGTAATTCTGCCACATGGGAAGTCTGCAAGGAAGAGGGCCATGCCTGTCACAACACAACTACAAAGCCCTTGAGGCTTGATCGTGGAACCTGGGTCCCAAAAGCTGCCCGAGACAAAGCCAATCCCCACCAAAGAAAGACCGGAAGGCCGTTCTGATCTGCAAACCAAAACATCTTCCCTCTTGCTTCCCATCTCCTCTTGCTTCACTCAAGGGAAACCTAGGCTGCATCAATAGAAGTATAATAAATAATAAAATAATAATAATAATAGCGTATAGCGTCCAGATCAAGGGAAAGTCATAGGGCCGCTCTCTTCTGCTTTGGTCAGGCCTCCTCACCTGCGATAATCCTGTGTCCAGTTCTGGGCACCAACAATTCAAAAGGGATGCTGAGAACCTGGAACTGTGTCCAGAGAAGGGAAACCAAAATGGTGAAGGGTCTGGAAACCATGAAGCCCTAATAGGAGAGCCTTAGGGAATTGCTGGGTATGTTTAGCCTGGAGAAGAGAAGGGTAAGAGGTGATATGATAAGCCTTGTGGTCCAACAAGTTGAGCATGAGCCAACAGTGTGATGCTGCAGCTAAAAAGGCCAATGGGATCCTAGGGGGCATCAATAGAAGTAGAGTGTCCAGATGGAGGGAAGTCATAGTGCCACT